CCAAAAAAGTGGACCACATCAGTCCAGCTCTGAGGTCCTTACACTGGCTGCCTGTCCGTCAGAGGATAGACTTTAAAGTTCTGATGCTGGCCTATAAAGCTCTGAATGATTTAGGACCAAAATACATCAATGACCTCCTGACCCAGTATGAACCATCCAGATCCCTCAGGTCATCTGGATCCGGTCTTTTATCAGTTCCCAGAGTCAGAACCAGACACGGAGAAGCTGCATTCAGCTTTTATGCTCCTTATATCTGGAACAAACTCCCAGAAAGCCTCAGATCAGCTGAAACACTCAGTTTATTTAAATCCAGGTTGAAGACTCACCTGTTCTCAGCTGCATTTGAATAAAGCACCAAATCCACACTTTAAGCTTAAATTTCAAAACTTACATTTAACTACTGATTTTATCTACTGTTTTGATTTTATATACTGTTGTTTGTTTGTTTGTTAATTAGTTAGTTAGTTTATTTGCTTGTTTTATTCAATTTTAAATCATGCTTTTTATTTGTTCTTGTTTCTAATGTCTCTGTAAAGCACTTTGAATCACCTTGTTGTTGAATTGTGCTATACAAATAAACTTGCCTTGCCTTGCCTTGCCTTGTGCGCATGCATAGAAACAATGGGTAGGATGGTTTGTCAGGTAGGATGGATTCCCAGAACACCGGCTAAAGACAGGCTGGTGAGCTTCCAGAGCTATCACTGACTCCACACACCAAGTTTCAGGTGTCATCACGCAAATTGACCAAAAGAAACCAAAGTTACAGCCCCTCTGATTTTAAAGGGCCAGAGACCAATTAAATTCTCCATGCGCACGGCAGAAAAGGGCCATTGCCATGTAATTGTGTGGTTAATTCTTCAAAAAATATATTTAATAAAAAGCATTTTTAGGCCTATTAATAAAATTAATTAATTTCTGCTTCTGTGACTGACCAGCACCCACTCCATGACATGCTGGTCAGTCACAGGAGCGCGTTCAGTGAGAGACAGATTACCGAAAAGCACCACTGAACGACACAGGAAATCATTCCTGCCTGTGGCCATCTCCCTGTACAGCTCATCCACTTAACACACTGTTTACTGCAACAGCTGCACCCTTCTTGCACATATTCTTTTTCAGCTACTTATTAATAAGTAACTTTTATGTATATATATGCCTGTATATATTGTGCTATTCTTAGTTAGCATATTATCTGTCTTTGTTAATGTTTGTTTATAATGGAGCACTGTAACGAAAAATAATTTCCCCTAGGGATCAATAAAGTATTCTGATTCTGATTCTCTTTAATACCTAAAAAAATTCAACTGGTATGATGTCCAATTGTGTGCCAAAATTGGACATTTTTGTACAACGTCTGGATATTCATGTATTGACAGGCCTGTAATTTTTCACTGTTTCACTTTAGAAACATAACTCTTTGCACAGATGATGTTTATATATTGGTTACTGAATTTCTGGAATCAAATGTGAACTGAGGCACATTTTTAAAAGGGTTATATGCTAAAAATAAAAAATTAGGCGAGGATAAAATCTACTTACTTTTTCTGTGTTCCAGTCTCAGTAACTTTGACACAGTAATATCTGCTTCAATACTTACACGTCTGATGAAATCTCACAAGTGTTAGCTTTATTTCGATACCAAGATTGTAAGGACAGAGTTTGTAATTGCAGAGAATTATTAAATTAAATTTGGGCATTACATTTTCGAGCAGGAAGCTCAAAATGTAACAGATTGTGTTATTAACCTCTTGGGGCTTAAGAGGTTAATAACACAATCTGAATTAAATTACCCAAACTGAAGTAGATTGCCACCCAGAGGATGGTATAGCCTTTACTTTTGTCAAAAACCAAAGCCCACTGAGCTATAAATAATCACAAGTACTGCAATGTTAAGGAAATGAATGTGATCAGGCTGCTCACAACACTTCCATAGCAGTACTTTACAAAGACAGAAGCCAAATAAAATAAATGAGCAATTTGCAAAATGTGTGCATTAATTAGAAATTATGACTTTTGTTACTTTAACATTTTTTCTCTTGACTTCATGTGTGTAAATTTATGTAGGAAAATTTGAGAAATAAACGGTATTCTGAAAACGTGAATCACATGATTGATTATATGATTATAATTAGCTGACATCAAAGCTGCTTGCTGTAGGGGGCATCTGGTTAGCAAAGATAATGAACAACAAAGTTAGTTTGATCCTGATTCCTGTGCCTTTAATGCGCTCAGGCTCTGTACTACAGCAATGCACCCCCTATTACAGAAACGTTGTTAGGGAAACAGCATGTTTATTAACTGCAATATCCTCATTTGAGGGCAGAGGAAAGTCTGGACAGTGAAGCACGACTTACCTTCTCCACCCCCTTGATAGGCAAGGTGTTTATGAGAGGTGACTGCTTCAAACTCTGCTTGATACAAAAACAGTGAAGAATAGATTAACCAAATTCAGCACTTTCATTGCACAGCTGAGCCACCCTTCCTCTGTGGTTATCAGAGTGTGACAAAATGATTACCTGAAGTACGACATCACTCTTATATTAATTTCGCAGCTATGTTTAGGGAATAAGGTCACTAGAGCTGCATTCTTCTTGTGGCAACAGTGCTGTCACACTGATGCATTTTCTAATCTGAATAGTTTTTATTTAATCACTGATACTATCAAAAGAACTGCGATAGGCACAAAATGTCAAATTTTTTATTTAGACATTCAAATGCCTCAAAACAATATCAGCAGTGATCTAAGCTGTACATTATAGTTGTTCTGTAATATAAACAGCGTTATAGTACTGCAGTGCAATATATTAATCTATTTAGTTATAAAAATGACTGAGTTTTAACCCTCTCACACCACATGTTTACATGTGGTTGTGGCAGTACTCTAAAAAGTTGGAAAAAAGACACATACAGTGTCACCTGGGGAACTGTACCCCAGGAAATGTAGGAATATTAAACTAACAGGTTAATTTCAATAGTTTATTTAACAAATCATTAAATCAAAAATAGGACTGACACTGCAACAATAACTTTAAATGAACTACTTAAAACAACCAAAGCAAAAAACAAACAAACATGGCAAATCAGTAAGTTAAAAAACTGAACATTTGTGGGGTAAACATATATATATATGTATGTATATACACAGTGTTGGGGAGTAACGGAATACATGTACGTATTTAAAATACAGAATATGAGTAACTGTATTCCGTTACAGTTACCGTTTAAAAAGGTGGTATTCAGAATACAGTTACTTTGTTGAAATAAATGGATTACACTGCGGTACTTTCCTGTTTCATTTTGTCGCGGGTCAGGACTGTTTGGGTTTTGTTTGACAGCTACGTTCTGTTGTTCCAGGCGGCAGCTTACGGTTGCCATGGTTACAGGGCGACGCTCTCTCTCTCTCTCTGCGATTGTGTGTTTCCTGGGTGAGAGAGCGCCTTTTCTTTGTTGTTGTGCTAAGCTAACAGGCAGAATGCTACAAGCATAGCTCTAAAGAATGTAGCATCATGGCCAGTGTAGTTCGTGCTGCAGGGAGAATGGACTGCCATACACGTTATGGGTCTGTGAGCGCGAGGAGGGAGAAAAAGGGGAGTGGAAAGGTACGAGTTGTTATCGAGGAAAAACGGGAGCTGGAAGCATGTAAATATAATAATAACCACTGCAGCCAAGAAGAGTGCCTGACGAGCCCAGTTGTAAGTAAGCTATTAAGACTCGACTGTACACCGTGTTCGTGTTTTCCTCCGAAAAAAATAAGTTCCGTTGGAGCAGCCTTTCAACGCCTCTCTCTGTCTCTCACAGGCAAAGTTGACCCACACAACAAAGTAAAGCTAGTTTTCGGATACGAGCCGACAGGGACCCCGCCGTATTAGTCAGAGGTCCCTTTACTACAGTTCGGAGTCGCGGACCTTCAGTAATAGTAATAAATCACACAGCAATGGTACATTCACGCTGTTGTAAAAAGCACGATAATATATTAAGTAATCCAAAGTATTCAGAATACGTTACTGTCATTGAGTAACGTAACGGAATACGTTACAGAATACATTTTGGGGCATGTATTCTGTATTCTGTAATGGAATACATTTTAAAAGTAACCTTCCCAACACACACATATATATATATATATATATATATATATATATATATATATATATATATTAACTGCACTTAATTAATGCAGTTAATTAACTGCACTTAATTAATGCAGCACTACGGGCAATACCTACAACCACGATTACCGACACTAACAAGCTGATCTACAATACGGCAGCAGTGATCAGTGAGATGCTTGGCTACAAGTTGAACAGCGACAAGGGGCAGTACCCTCCATGGAGAAGGAGGCTAGAGGGCAAGATCAAAGTAGCACGGAGGGAGGTTAGCCAACTAACAGAGTTGCAGAAAGGTGCGACAAATAAGGTGCCTAAGAAATACAGCAAGCTGTCCATACCTGAGGCCTTGGAAACTGCCAAGCAAAGACTCACAGCCTTGGCCAGCCGCTTGAGGAGGTACACCAGAGAGATCAAAGGCAGGAGAATAAACCAGCTGTTCTCCACAGAACCAGCAAAGGTGTACTCTCAGTGGCAAGGGAACAATAAGAGAACAGCACCACCAAGGCTGGAGACGGAGCAATACCGGAAGAGCATATGGGAGAAGGATGCAACCCATGTCTAATATATATATATATGTATATATATATATATATATATATATATATATATATATATATATATGTATATATGTATACATATATATATATATATATATATATATATATATATATATATATATATATGTATATATGTATATATATACTCTAATATAATACTCTAATATAATGCGCTTCCATGTCTGTTTCTGGACAGAATTTTGTAGACTTCAGTAAATCACTGTGCTTCTTTCCTATTTTTCCAGCAAAATACAAAGAAAGCAGGGGTGGCTCATGACTTTTGCACAATATAGCTCAAAAGATTAAAAGATACAAACATGTACAAAACACATACCTGTAGGATGTGCTGGATAAACTTGGCTGGGTAGGTCCATTGGACACACTGGAGGTGTTACTAGAGAAGACACGTGTGTCACCAGTAACACTGGCAGAAGAACCCGCTGATAAGCCAGGTGTGTTGTAACTGACAAAGGCAGATGTTCCACTGGAGTAAGGCTCATCCTCATCAGTAGCAACGACAGCAGGATTGGTGGACATTGTGAGGGTGTCAGCAGAGATGGAAGACTCAACAGTACAAACATCTTGGGTTGCAACGCACCAGATGACCTCATCATCAACAGACATGGACTGTGCGTTAACAATGGGAATGGCTGAGGGAACTTCTTTAGAAATTTCAACTGTGAGAACACAAAGAACAGGAGTTTAACTTTTGAATAACATCTCATCACATATATAGCTTTTGCTTTTCATGTATTTAGGGGTACATTTCTTCCTGCTCAAAATATTAAACTAAATTTAAATATGATTTTAACAAAGACTTGACACTTAACTAAAGACACAATGCCTAAGATGACTAAGTAACAGACACTGAACCAACTTAATTTACAGTTTATTTGGAGCGACTTTTAGATAGGAATATTTACCGCATTTGTCAGAATTCAACGTTTCTGTGAAATCCTGCCTGCTTGTATGGCTACTCTCGCCATCAGAATATGTCTGTAAATTAAAACAGAGAATACATTTCATTTTACTGACAACAAAATGTCATAATAAATATTAGTAATATGTTTATGTATTATGTATTAAAACATAATACAAGTGACAATGTTTAAGGGAGTTTAAAATCCATCTTTGCCTTTTTCACTCTCATTTTATGAACATACATACATTTGCTGAAATGATCAGGATTACTTACTGATTCATTGTCCTCACATAAGATGACCTTGTCAGGTCTGACATAAATTGACTTCTGATGAAACAGTTTTTTCACAAGGTCTCCATTCAAAGTCTGTTTGGAAGTGAGTGATGGCTCAACTAGTTTGGTGTGGCATGCCAGCAAAATCTGTAGCCTAGGGGAGGAAGAAAACATAGTGTATATGAAATTTTTGTTAAGGCTAACAGACTACAATACAATACAATACATTAAAAGGCTTAATTTTTGTTAACTCTAAAAGATATCAATCCAGTCATCCGATCGGTGCTCCCAGATCCTTTTTGGAAATACCCAGAGTTGACCTTTAATAGTATAATAATCTAAGTAACAAAAAATTTATTTATTTTTTATAAAAAAGGATCTAATGCTTACCTGCATCCTTCAAGAACTGGCTGGAAGGCAGTCCTTATTGCCTGCATTACTTTGTCTGAGTCCCAGTCACAGCTAAACTCCAGTGCAGATTTTATATGTCCATTTTCAAAAAGCCAAGCTTTTTTGTTACGCCTTGGCACATGTGTAGTTAGATGGTCTGGCAAGAGAATCACTTCTTTGGTGAAAGACTGAGCCACAGAATGTGACCTGCTTAGCTGTGCTGGAAACCTAATGGAAGATAAAGGCAAATTAAACATTTCTGCATGTAATATACTCACACTTCTCTGATCAATGAAGTACATTTAATTAAAAAAATACACCATGCTGTACACATGTCTAATCTGCATTAATAAACACCCTCTAGCCCCATAGCTAGGATAGGCTCTTGGAATCCTGAATTGGATAAGTGGAAGAGAATGGATGGATGAATGGATAGATAGATGATGGAAGATAGTGGGATGGGTGGGTGGAGAAACTTAACAATCACATAAACGAATGTCTTCAATTCACGGAGTACTTTTTGTTGCTTTAAAAAAAGTTTCATTAAATTATATACTGCCAACAACTATGTATTGTAACAACTGATGTGCTTTGCTTTTACACAATGTTTGCAGATTAAGCTTACGGGACGTGAAATATTCGCATGTTTCCACAATTAAACAAATTAACTGTTGTGCACAGTTTAGTCTCCACGTCCACACGCTGTCAGTCTGTCGCACAGTTTTTTTGGTTTGTTTTTTTGTGATATTTTTGTTTACTTAGCTTCGTCGAGCAATTGAAACCTACGGGCTATTACTAACCTTCCACTAGTAATTTCAGTGCATTTAGTTCTGGTCTTACCTCTTCTGCCTTGGGCCCTTTCGAGTAAAAGGTCTAAGATTGTAGATGGGACCTGTTGTGGGGCACTCCTGTGATGTGGAAGGCACATTCTCCATAACGTTAGCTGGATAACCAGGGGTTATCTGACCGGAGAGGTTCACTGCATTTGGTCTTCCACGATGAAAAAGTGAATAAATTTCTTCATCAGTAGTACGATGCGGTACACTAGTACAAATATTAGGTTGGCCAGAACATGCATTTGCCAGGGTGTTAATTAGCTCCTCATTCCTTAGAATTTGAGCCACAAAATTCCGTGCGGACCTGCTCATAGTGCCATTCCTCGCAGGTACAAACAAGGAAAACACTAGATGGCGCAAGCGCCTCCGTGACGTCAAGCTTCATTCTATAGAAGATCAGAAGATCATTCTATATATTCAAGTTTCATTCTATATATTCAGAAGATCATTCTATATATTCAGACTTTGGTTGGAATATATATATAATATTTTCCTAAAGGGCATTCCATAATACACACACACACACACACACACACACACACACACATACATATATATATATATACATATATATATATATATATATATATATATATATATATATATATATGAATTTAAAAAAAATTTAATTTAAAATTTTTAAAAAAGTTTAGGCTTCTCAGCAACATGGAAAAAGTGATATGGTCATGACTGAATTATTAATTACGTACTAATAATATAATGTGAATTTGTAAATTGGGCAAAAACTGCTGTGCCACCATATGAAAAAAATAGACTCACTTAAACCTCTTTATTAATGGAAAATTAAGATTCATAATATAAATATGCTAATACTTGTAGGTGCTTGTCTTCTGGGTTTTGAAGGTTAGAAGGTGGACAGAATGAAAACAAGCGGTTGTTTTCCCTCGATGGTAATTATGCTCCATGCATGATCAGACACACTCTGCTGACGTCCAAACACTCACAAACCCTCCACAATAATGGATGCTGACTGAAGAAATCATTTGTTTTGGGATCTAATTATTAATTATCGGCTGTCTGGGAAACCTGGCTGAGTTTGGATTTCACAGACTCCACTGACCCAGCAGGCTGACTGGCGGCGGCCTGACAGCGGCTGTTGCGGTGTGCTAAGCGCGGTCGCCGTGCTTCATCCCAGTTGTTGTGCACAGAATAAGGACTCGTCACGGGCACTGACAGGGCACTTCACCTCTGCCGACACACTGAACAACCATTATTCGTAGCTGTCTCTCTCTTACAGTCACACTCAGTTTCACAGCATCCTCTATTGCCGCTATTCTGCGTCACATTTAACAAATAAACAGCAACATATTGAAGCTTATATGCATTTATATGTGCATTTATGGTAATATGGACCCAATTACTCAAAAGTTAATTCGAAAGTGATCTCATCACGCTCTGGCTCTCTAGCAAATGAGCATAATCTTTTCTGCAGATAATCTAATTATGACTAATTGTATCTGAGCAGCTCATTTTGATATCATCTAGAGAGGGACACTGTCAGTCTGAAAATGAAAGCAGTAATTTGAAAAGTTTTAACGGTAATAGAAAATTTCTCGCCTTTATTAATTTGTTACCGGGCAGAAAAAATAGACTTGATACAGAGATAACGATTTCATTATAGTGTAAGGTGCCCATGTTCATGCTCTTTAGGCCATTTAGTGGCTGTATAGTCCTGAGTACAAACACTATGCACATCAATCATCAGTACCGTCTTAATTTAATCCAAGCACAGTGAAAGGGGAGCTTTACTAACAAAAGCTGGAACCAAAAAGTAAATTAATGAATCATGTGAAATTATTAGTCCAAAATGCAAGGACTGAAAACTTCAAATTGGTTGAGTGCTTATCGACTCTATTTGAGTGCCTTCTTACTACGGTACACGCCTCGTTCCCACATGTGCCTTTTTCTGTGCTGTTGCCTTTTTAAACTTCACACACTCACACTGAATAATGAATGCATTTTGGGCTATTTGGAGGGTCAGTATCTTGCACAAGGGTACTTTGGCATGTAGACTAAAGGAGCCGGGGACTGAATCACTAACCATCCAATTGGTAGATGACCCGCTATACCTTCTTAACAGAGCACAAGCAGGGAAAACAGGAACAGTGGAGAAAAGTGAGGCAAAGAAATATACTGGGCACTTTTCATTATGCTAACTTGCACTGCTTCGCATCGTGCGATCAAGAAACTGTTCCCCCTCCGCCATCATGAAGGATATTCTAATTCCTTAAATGCACCTTAAGAAGATGAGGGGAGAGAGGCTTTTGGAGGGGAAAGTGTTTGATTAAGTGGACACTTTGCCTTCGACATGGTCAACATAGACCTTAAAAGTGACCGCTGACTTGTTTTTTTCCTTCTCTGCCACTTGTGTATAGAACTAAATGATGGAGCCAGATGTCAATTTGAAAGTGCCACTGAGTTGTATTGCAAAACAGCAGCTACAATGGTGATTACCATCTGTTAGGATTGTGCCAGCATGTTAATCTTTTAGAAAAATCCATATGGTGTTTCCAAAACAAACTAGGTTGAGCTATAGCAAAATTGGCCAACCACTTGGACAACAGTAAGAAATACCAGGGCGATTGAATGTGAAAATCTCAGTGGTATGGTTAGAGTCTATGGATTTTATTGTTATGTTTGGCGTTATGACTCTGTAATTAAGATGAATTCTTAGTCCTGCAAACCACAACAAGCACAAAAAGGAAAAATCTCTGAGTTGGAGAATGATGTGAGAAAAGACAGGACAGGAGAGGAAGATGACAGGTTAGGTTTAAAGGTAAGGACTGCTCAGTGATGCTTGATAAACTGCAGATTTAAAGCTTAATGTTGTAATTTTAATCACAAGCTATTCTATTTTTGTGTTATTCAAATGTCATGAAAATCCTGTGTAGTTAATAAAGAGGTTAGCTTGTCATACTGTGGTGAATTTCTTGTAAAGCAGTGCGCTGGACTGGTGCAGAGTGGCTGTGGTGCGCATGGTCAGTGTTGGTTTATATCAACTGTAATAGATTAAGATGCATTTTAAATCATGAAATTACGTTCTCTACTGGAGTCCTACCTCATGTGACAAATATGGCCAATGTGATTGGCTGTGCCTTTCAGGGAGCTCTGTTTAGTTTTATCAGCGGCAAGCCTGCGCTGCAAGGACCTGCGAGGAGGAGAAGGGGATGAACCTGGATATAAGAAAGTATTTTTCAAAGAAACCTGTAAGTCACTTAAAGCCAAGTTAACTCCTAAAATGTGTCTGTCATAATAACGTTACAGGCTATGCTAGGCTTTGGCCCACATCAGTCTAAAATTGTATGTAACCATGAATAACGTGTTTTGGAAACTAACTGCACAACAGCACTATTAGTTATCTCAGTCTCAGAGTAGTAGTATTTGGAATGTCTCACTGTTATTCAGCAGGTGACAGAGGCAGCTCTGCCATGTTGTAGCTCGGACAGAGGTGAAGAGGCACTGACTGATGATTTGGTGCTATAGATTAACTAGTATTTATTATCATGACAATTGTTAGGCTGCTGACGTAAATTGATTCATTTGTGTATATTTGACAAAGAATCTGAATTGACATGTCTCACTTTTTATATGGCACGAATCAATGTGTTATTTTATCAGGTAGCAATATGTCCTAGTGCAGTCAGAGGGGAAGAGCCAGGGCCAAAGGTGAGGCACATCAAGCACAGAATAATAATTTTAATCTGAGGATAAAACGCATGTACAGTGGCTATAGAAAAAAATCTACACACCCATGTTCAAATGCCAGGTTTTTGTGATGTAAAAAAATGACAGCTCACTGAGTTGATAGGAGCAATAGTGCCTAAAATGTTGCAGAATTTTGCTGTGAGATCTTTTACTTTGTGGTAATCTTAGATGAGTAGTTTTATGGACAAAACCCACCAGGGCATTCAGTGTTCCCTTAGTGCTAATGTGTAAGAGATGTTTGTGTACTATAACTGAAGTAATGTTGTTAAGTCCTTAAAGTCATATTCTTTTATTGTGATGTCTGTATTTGAAGCTATTTTTATTTTTGTATGATACCTGATTTATATGGAATAGGGCTGAAGTAAACTAAAGCCTAAAATACTTAGTCATTTGTTTAATAGTAATTTAACATTATAAAACTATGAATTGTAAGTTTAAATGGTTTAAAAGCATGTAGAATATCATATGTAGGCAAGTATATTTCTCCTTTTTTTATCAAGAAGCAAAGACAAAAAGAAGAAGAAAAAAAAGAAACGGGGCAGGGTTCGGTGGTTGAATCATCCGTCCCCACCAATGCCAAAACCAAATCTACGCCCTTGCTTTACTTACTTTACTAGGTGTGGATGTAAAGTCACCTTCTACAATGCAGACAACAGAACATTTTTTAAAATTATTTTTCACTCCATAACAGAGTCAAACTGAATACCTTCATTAGAATTAGAACTTTGATTCAAATAATATTTTTATTTTCCTGTACTAAAATTCATAATTTAAAAAATGTACATTCGTCCTTCCAGGAGTTTAAAAAGTTGCTTCAGTACGTCAACTTTTATTGGAGTATTTTTTAACCCAGTTGTCTGTAAAGAAAGTAAAGAAAGTCTGTACTTTTGTCACCTGTGCAATTCTCTACAAATGACACAGCTGGGTTAATGGGACATTAACTAGGTAAAAGTTTTAAAAAAACACTGCATACATTTATGCTGCTATGCAGATTATCCCTTTTTTTATTTAATAAAATTAAAAAGTCTTGAGCAATCCCATATTTCCTCAAAAAAAAAAGAATAGGAGAGAAGAAAAAATGATGCTGGATATCTGTACTGATGGACAGGGTAATGTGCCTGCTCGGGGTGCACCTGCTCTCATCTGTGAAAAGCACAGAGTGCCATTCTGTGCAACCATTCTATGTTCATTCTATGTCTTTTAACCAGTGGTCCCCAACCCCCGGGCCACGGACCGGTGCCGGTTCGTGAGTCATTTGGTACCGGGCCACGAGAGTTGAGACTCGGGTGTGAAATGTATGGTTTTCAGGGTTTTTATTGGTTTTTATCATTATTTTGTTATCGTTTTTTTCGTTAACTCGTTTTTCCTGGGTC